CAGGCCACAAGAGAAAGACTTGGCGAACGATGAAGCCAATGCTGAAACGAATCAAACCAATGCTGAGACAGAAGAACAACGAACAGAAGATCCACAACCAGAAGAGCAACAACCAAGAGAGATTCAGGTGGTTGATCTGTCGGAGGAACATCGTGACGAAGGGGATCACGGTGACACTGGCGAAGGGGATCATGGTGACGCTGGTACTGCCGAAGTCCAAGTCGAAGAGAGTCAAGTCGAGGCAAATGCTACTCAACAGCCTCAACCCCAAGACAACGCTGCTGCAAAGGTTGTCACCTTAACAAAGCATAGGTCGAAAGAAGACTTAGAACTCTTGAAGCAAACTGATCCTGTTGGCTATCTGAATGCCATCATCGAAAGCAAGGGAAGTTCGTCTGATATCAGTCAGGAGGCTTCTACTCTGTCGGGGAAGTCCACTGAAACTTCTCCTCTCGATGAGGCTTTGACGAAGGTTAAGGCTCAGTTCTTCAAGAAGGATTTGATGAAAGCTTTGGAGGGGGACCCTACTGCTCCATCATATTTGGGGGCTGTTTTGAATGCCGTAGACTTGTTAGCTGTGCCTCCAGAGGTTTCAGGCTTTATCATGGAGTTACACTCCATTTTGATCAAGTCTCAGCAGATTATCAGCGACAAAAGGGCTTTAATAGCCAGCTTGAAGTGTTATATGGCAAAAGCTCTTCTGCATGGACTGCGGTAGCAGAGACAACTTCTCGAATTGCAGAGTTGTCGAAGCAAAAAGCATCTAAACAAGAAGAAGTTGATGCCATAGATCGAGAGAATGCTTCCATAAAGGCGCAAATCGAAGAACTAGAGGCTAAGATGAATGCCAATACTAAGCGCAAGGAGGAACTTATCTCGACTGTTCCAGACACCGAAATTCAAGCTGAAATCACACAAGGCCTAGAATTTGCTGAGAAAGCTCAAGCCTTCGACGATCAAATTGCCAAGCTTGCCCAGGCGAATGCCTTGTGCAACAAAAGATTGGAGTTGCAGCAAACTAAATACCTTCGACTCAAGGATTCCATCCCCTTCTGATTGATTCAGCCCTTTAACCATATATTGTAATATGTATTCGACAATATTGCCATTTTGGCTAATTTATAAAAATTTTCCATTTTGGCTTATTTATGGTTAATTTAGTCGTTACTTGTTATTTATTTTTATCTCTTGGAGTATAGGTTTATGCTTTTTCAAATATTTACCATTTACTCTCAAGAGCCTTTTATCTTCACCTAACTCTTCGACTTCATAAGCTCCACCAGAAAAAGTCTGGATAATTCTGAATGGTCCTTCCCATTTGGGTGACCATTTTCCCATGCTTCGATCCCTTCGATCCATGGGAAGAATCACCTTCCAAACTAATTCTCCAGGCGAAAATGCCTTAGGTTTCACCTTTTTATTGTAAGAGTCTTCTACTCTTTTCTTCTGAAGCCTTAGTAGGTCAAGAGCGCGCAATCTTTCTTCGTCTAAATCTACTAGTTCGTCTAACATCATATCCCAATAAATTTCAGAGGGAATATCATGATGTCTCTGAACCCTTGCAGATTGAAGACAAATTTCTGCTGGCAACACTGCGTCATGGCCAAAAGTTAGCCTATATGGTGTTGTACCTATGGCTTCTTTTGGGGACGTTCGACAGGCCCACAAGATCTGGTCTAACGTCTTATGCCAATTTTTTGGCTTCTTCCCAACATGCTTTTTTATCAAGCCAATCACTACTTTGTTCGCTGCTTCGACTTGACCATTTGCCTGTGCATAATAAGGCGTTGATGTTAGGAGTTTAAAGCCTGTTTCACGTAAGTCAGTAACCTTTCTTTGATACAAAAGGTCTTCTATATATAGCTTCCAATTGAACGTTAATGCCTTGATTATGGTGCATGCATTTAATGAAGCGTGTTTGTAATGATGCGTGTAGCGAGTATATTTGGTCTTTATGTTTCCAATGCTAGTGCGTATAGTATACTTGAGTGTGTTAGCCGTATTAGCATTTAATAACCAACGATACTGTCAGAGCTTGTCTCTGGAAGTTGAAGTGTTTGCTTGCAGCGTTACTAATTCAGAGTTTACTAGATCTATTCTTTTATCAGAGTATTCTTCAGTATGTGATCTTCAGAGTTTGCTTTAATCTTGTATTTATCAGATGTTGCTTTCAGCGTGCTTCTATCAGATCTTTGCTTCAACTAGCTTTATCAGAAGTTTCTTAGGATTGCTCTTTATCAGAGTTTGCTTTGGAGTGCTTCCTTCTGAGTTTTCTTTAATCTTGTATTTATCAGATGTTTCTTTCAGCGTGCTTCTATCAGATCTTTGCTTCAACTAGCTTTATCAGAAGTTTCTCAGGATTGCTCTTTATTAGAGTTTGCTTTGGAGTGCTTCCTTCCGAGTTTGCTTTATACCTGCGTAGAATGCTGTTTCTTTCTAAGATGTGTAAGACAGAACTTCATCTGATCTTAGAGAACATACAAGTCAGAGTATAAAATATATATCACAAAATTTATTTCATTGTTATCATCAAAACTCTAAGATATGATTAGAACCAAACTTCGTTCTAATAGAAAGAAGCTCGAGTCAACCCCTATTATTCGGGGAGATCATCCCCTATGTTGTGGCCATTATTCAGGGAGATTATCCCTGACATCATAAAATCATGAACTTCAATGAACATTCATGAGTGTTCGTCGCAGAACCCATGAACTTCAATGAACATTCATGAGTGTTCATCACAGAACTCACGAATATTCATCCAATCAAGGCAAATATTAGGTGTTTAATCTAGAAACGTTAAGGAAATACGTTATTAAGGAGATACAACTTGCTTGGATGAAGGATTCTTGAAAGAAATCTGGAAAAATTGAGAGGAAAGCTTCACGTGCGAGCAAGGGAAGTTGAAGGAAAAAACTTGAGAAAATGACAAATGAGACCCATGGGTCCCCTTTTATAGGTGGCTCATACTCCACGAGGTTCATCACGAAAAGTCATCATTGGATTGGGCCTTTTGGAATCCCCCTGAAGGGATGGCATCCCAAAGCAACAACCATGTGGCCCAACAATTAACCACGTGTCCATTCTTAATAGACGATCACATCCCCGACTTCAACGTATAATCCCCATGTGAGCACGAGACAGACACCTCACACGAGGGAATGCTCGACATCGTGACAACCCCTTGAAGACGCACACGTCGAAAGAGAACTCGTAAAAGATCCCTGTAACTTATACGGTCCTCCCGGGCAAACAACTGACCTCGTCTATCTCACTGCTCATATGCCCACAAGATCCCCGACACATTAAAACAGATTGTCCCCTATGTGGGCAACAACTCGCTTCCTTTCAGAGGACTTCAACCATTCTTCCCGATCAAATCCTCCCCGGCTATAAAAACTAAACTTAAGTCATCACCCTTTCACCTAAAGGCAATAACTTGGGGGCTCCTGATCTGGACTGGGCCTGCACTTGTCTCCCAGTTTGGAGGCCCAATCCAACGCCTTGTATAAGGCTCAAAAGCAAGCAGCCCAAGCTAGGGACCATTGAGCAACTCCCCACACATCTGTAGAGGAACGTGGCCCACGTCTCCACATCATTGTCATCTTAACTGCTATTCAGAAATCACGGGTCCAACCCCTATTCTCACGGAGAAGTTGACCGGGGGGGAGTCCACTTGTTGGACTCCGTACACACGTAAGCCCTGTCAGTCTCCATTATTGGGCCTCAATGTGGTCCAATAATGGGGACCTTGACCCAGCGTTGAGGGCTATAAATACCCTATCTTTCGAGAGGACCAGATATTGAACATTTTCTCACTCTCTTACTTGCTAGCTCATTCTGAATCCCACTTTGACATCGGAGTAACTTGTAGGTACCCCCACCTCACTCTCAAATTCTGCTCGACGTAAGCTGTGACGGTCCATTCTGGTCAGGTACGATCAATTTTATTAAATGATAACATGAGTGCTTAGATGATTTGATTTGATTATCAATTAAAAAAATGTTAAAAACATTAATTATAATAATTTAATAAATAATTATAATAAAAAATAAAAAAATTTACTAATTTTATCATTATATTATGGCCTAGCTAATTTTAAATTTTTATTTTAGACCTCGCAATATCTTGGATCGACCATAGTATAGCCAATCGATCAAACAGTACAAAGTTTATATATTGATTTAAATCTGCTACCCAAATGTAATTTGATGTTGCAAAAAAAAAAATTATAGATTAAATTTAATTGAAGACAGTTAAAAATACGACACAGAGCAAGAGTAATATCTCATTGTTGAGTTGCCAAAGTACATTATTCACAAAAATATAGTTTTCTATAATTTCTTTGGACGACCTTATTGTACCTTATGCATGCATGATAATAACCATTTATTTTGGTCAAAAACCTCTATTTTATTTTTTATTTTTTTGTACAAAAAACCCCACTATTTTAGCAAGAACAATACTAGTTCATAATTCATATATGCTTTGCATAAAAAATAATTGTCTATTTTTGGAAGTTGACCAAAATCACCCTTTGAAGAATTATGGTTCTGATAAGAGACGTGACTCATGGCATGAGTAAGTGACTTGAATTTCAAGATATTTTCTGAGATGATTCCATGATAATATCCTTTTTCTTAGAGTGTAATTTTTTTATTTTATTTCCAGCATTTTTCCCCATATGTAATATTATTTATGTGATTGACCAAGATATATAGCGTGTTGAAAATAAAATATAAATTTTGTCATAAAGACATTGAATGTATTAACTACGGTATAGATATGGACATTCAATATTTGACTCAAATTGTAATTATGAAAATATAATCAATAGCAACTATATCCGTATTAAAAATAAAAAATTTGAGGTTTTAGTTATTTTTTATTATTTACTAATATATCATTTCTATTTAATATAAAAACAATGATATATATATGCCCACTTAATGAAATATTAGCATTCAAAGTTGTATCATTCCTTCTCAAAATCAAAGATATGAAAATCCTCTTCATTACTTTGCTGATTTTCTCAATTCATTTAGGTATGAGATATGAAACTTGTTTTTATTGTTAGTGAAATTTAAGGAGTTTGTGTTACTTTAACTAACTATGATTAGTTTGAATTGGATTTGTTCTTTTGTGCAGGAAATGAAGTGCAAATGCTAGAGGCACAAGGATGCACTAGAATCATACCTGGTTTTTGTAGTCAGAAATGGAAGAATTTTTTTTGCTACTTGAATTGCATGGGAGAATGTAGTACATTTGGCGCAAAGGGAGAATGTCGTAACGAAGACAAAGATTGTCATTGTACTTGTTGTTATTAAATGGTTATATATAACCATGGAGTAATACATTTTGTGATATGGTTAAGGTTAACAAAAAAAAAAAAACAAATGTATGAGGGAGGGTTCAAGTGAAAGTTAACAAATATAAATTTAATAAACTTTTGGGTTTGTTCAAATCTCTGATTTTCTTTAGTGTTGGATTCTAGTTGTGTGAATATGTATTTCCTTCTAGTTGTTGTTGTTATTGTAATTGTGGTGTTTTTGTGGATGATTGTTGTTGATTTTTAACGTCTCTTTTGTTGTTCCTCATTCATGTTGGAAAAGAAAAGTGATTTTTAACTTTTAATGTATGGTTGTGATTTTTTTTTTGTTTTAGAATATATTTTTGGATAAAATATTTTTTTTGGTTTTGTATGTTAAGGTCAAAGTTTATTTTGGTTCTTTAATTTAAAAAAAGTTTATATCGGTCTTTTAACTCTTAAAAATATTTTATTTTTTAGTTATTTTTGTCTAATTGACGATGAAAAAACTTAAAAATCTGTCGCTAATTAGACAATAAAGACAAAAATAAAATATTTTAAAGAGTTAAAACATTAATATAAATATTTTTTAAGTTAAGAGATCCAACTAAAATTTTAACGTTAACATACAAGATACAAAAAGTATTTTACCTATATTTTTCCATTAAAAAAGATAAACTTTTAAAAATTAAGTTTAAAAATCATTTAACAATTTTTTGTAACTTTTTTATATATAAATCGATATGAATGAGAGGAGACATTACAAGTTTATAAAAATCACATTTTTGAAAATACATGGATAAAAATAATTACATCCATATTTGTTATAAAATGGAAAATAATTATTTTTTAATATAAAAATTTTAAGGAAATTTTTTTTATAACTTCTCATATTTTTATGCAATTATTCTTAAAAATACAGAAAAATTAATTTCTCATAAGTGTCCCAATATCTATTAAATTTTCATAGTTAGTTTTTGATCTGACCTGATCAGAAGGTTTGGACCGTCACGGCTGGCTCCGAGCAGAAAGCTTTTTGAACGAGGAGGGGGGGGGGGGGGGTACCTGCAAGGCACTCCGATGCTAAAGTCAGTGGGAGTACGAGCAGATAATAGAGTTGAGGTTAGAATGATGAATACCTGACCCTCTGGAAACAGAGGGTATTTATAGCCCCCAGCGCTGGGCCAAGGTTCCTTTGTTGGGCTGGGCGGATTTGGCCCAATGGAGGAATTGCCAGGTTCTACGTGGGTAGTGGGGACCCGCACGTGGTCCCCTTCCTGGATGTGCTGCGTGAAGTGCGGGCGGACGGAGACGCGGTCTTTCCGGGGTATCGTTGGGGGAACGGTGGACTGAGTCTGCCCTAGCCGGGTAGCTCGGGCCCATGTCGAGCTGGGAAGCACGGTGCTGAGCTCGACGCCAGGACCTCGAGCTGGACGGCGGGTGTCGAGCCGGACGCTAGGACATGGAGCTGACGGCAGGGTGTCGAGCACGACTTCACCGCGTGGGTTGGACATCGGGATGTCGAGGTGGACATCAGGGTGTCGGGCATGGACGTGACCCCCTTTGCCCAGTGTGGTCCTTAGTGAGTCCCTTTGGACTGGGCCTTAGTAATGCTTTTGGGCCTGCGGGCCCAGTCCAGAACAGGAGCCCCCCAAGTCGTGGTTCCTTTGCGAGGAGCCATGACTTGAAACCAAGTTGTTCCGTCGTTGAGGTCTCGTGCCCGGGATGGAGGTGTGGGCCCTCGAGGGGCCTCCTCGTGTCGTGCTCGGAGACATCCTCGGTGGTGGGTGCGTGGAGGATCCGTACCGGGCGCGTCGGTCGAGCACACGAGGCATCTTTCGGGAGCTGTGCCGCCACCCTAGGGGGGTAGGGCCATCATTGTGTTGGGAGCAGCGCGTCGAGGAGATGGAGTCCGTGGTTGAACGAGGTGACGTTTGGTATTCCACGTCATCACTATAAATAGGATCCTTGGGCCCCATAATACGTTTTCCGTTCTCCGTGCTCTCTCCGTTGCCGCTCTCAACGCTTTCTCCAGTTGCGACTTCCCGTCTCAGATTCTTCATTTCTTAGCCAAATCCCAAACTTTGATCCAAGTAAGTGATCTACTTTCTTCATTTTTCCGTTTTAGAATGCATGATTCCTGGAAATTGTAGATGTTTTAGGACCGTGCGCGTGGGATTAGCCCGGTAAACTCGTGTTTTGCCCGACGTATTCATGTCTAGGACCGGCAAACGCATACTTGTGGCCGACACATTCATAGTTTTAGGTGAAAAACTTCAGAGCTGCCCGAGGTCTTCATGATCCGGGGCGCCTGATTCATGACGGTACCCGGTATGTTTATGGTCGTGGCCGTGGGCTTAGTAGTGCGGCTCGCCATGTTCATACCTCGGGTCGACATGCTTGAAGAGTGGCCGCGCAGTTGGTTTGAGGAAGAACACTGGGTTCAGGAAAGTCGGGGAGACATCCACTTGTGAAAACGGACTTGTGTAGTCGTGTATGGACGACATGATTATGTCGAGCATAGGACTTCGTGCTCAACTGATTGGTTTCCCGTGCTCTGCAGGTAACCATGGCGGACGAGCCGAGCTCCTCCGGACGTCGTGATCGCGAAGAACAGAGTGCCGACGAGTCGGCCACCCTGATGGATACCGTGACCGACCCATTGCTGGAATGGGTGGGTGTCGAGCCTCGGGGGACAGCGTCGATATATAGCCGGGATGACCGACATCCCTTCACTGTCATTGAAGAGGGTCAAGACCAGCCCGACTTCCAGCAGAACTTCGTGGTCATGCTTCCGTCGACCAATGCAAGAATTTGCTCGGTGTATCCGAACTACAGCCTCGAGATGTATGAGATCGCGTTTAAAGACTTAGGGCTGCGGCTGCCGTTCACTGATTTTCAGACCGGGGTCTTTATGCACTTGGAGCTGGCCCCGTCCCAGCTACACCCAAACTCTCTCGCCTTCATCCGGGCGTTTGAGTTGACGTGTCGCTACTTGAGGATAGGAGCGACCATCCCTCTTTTCTTTCGGGTATTTCACCTGCAGCGTCAGTCCCGAGGAGGGAAGCACAGCTGGGTGTCCCTGAAGCAGTCGAGGAGACTGTTTAAGATGTATATGGACTCCGTGAGGGGGTTTAAGGACAAGTGGTATGTGGTACGCCCTATTACCGACTCTGCTTTAGATTCCCTTTTCGAGGAGGAGGGGCCAGTCAGCGACGATGACGGGGAAGCGATGGTGGCCGACGACGGGAGCCCCGTGTTAGGTCGTAGGGCTAAGTTCCCGGTGTACTGGATGTCCCGACATTATGAACATGGGACAGGTTATTTCCATACTGCTGTCGGGGACATGTGCTCGGAAGATCAGCGGGCGTACGACGTTCTTTGTCGGTTTGTCGACAGTTTTCATCCCGCCCGATGGGTTACGCGGGAAGGGGATGATATCCTCGACAAAGACGGTTACCCGACGTTTGAGTCTCGCCCGATCGACACCAAGGCGCTGGTGGAATGTCCGACGTACAGGCAGGCTGCCCGCCTGTTAGGTTGTTTGCTTGAAATTCTTTATTCGTCGTTTTACTCATGCAGTTTGCTCGATACTGACTTTTCTTTTATTTCGTACAGGTACGATGGCTAGCCGACACGAAAGGCTCCTGAAATTATCAACCGACCAGAGGCGAGGCAGGAGGGTCGTGAAGCCCCCGCAGACGACGAGAATGGGACCACCACAAAGTCCGAACGCTCCTCAGCCTGTGAGGGTGGATTCGACGTCGAGCTCGGGACCCGCGTCAGATCCAGAGGTCGAGGAGATTGACCCCAGCACCGTTTTGATGCAGAGGAAGAGGACCCGCGTGGAAGGCGGTTCGACTGTCGGGGAGGATGCCGGTGCTGTTCAATCTTTTGCCTTCCCCCCTTGCTTCGAAGAGGCGGGCTTTTTCGAGCGATTCCCTCCGACAGTGGTCGCCCATGAAGCTGAGGCCATAAAGAAGATGAGTAAAGAGGAAAGGAAGGCCTATCTGGCCGCCAGCGTGGACGGGCTGGTGAAAATGGCCGAAATGGCTTTGGTGTTATCTGAGGATGCAGGGGATGCTGCTCGTGTTGAAGAGCTCGAGCAGGAGAAGGCGGCCTTGACTGCAAGCTCGCGGAAGTTGAAGGTCGCTCTGGAACGCTCCGAGGAGATGTTCCGAGAGCAGACCGCGATACTTGATGCCGAGAGGGAGATGCTGACCCTGGAAAAGGAGAAGTCGGGGAGGTTGACTGAGGAAGGGGAGTTGCTCCGGACCGACAGGGATCGCTTGGCTGCCGAAGTCGAACGCCTGGGTAAACAGGTTGAGGAAATGAATGTTGTCCTGCAACCCGCGGAAGATGAGCCCGAGGACATAGTGACTTTGAAGAGTCGGGCTGAGCTGGTCGCCCATATCCGGCTCCTCGAGGCGGACTGCGTCGGTGCTCTGGAAGACGGGTTCAATTCTGCAGTCGATCAACTCTCATTGTTAAACCCTGGTCTGGTCACTGAGGGTATCGGTCACACACACCGGGTTGTAGGTGGCATGATCGTTCCTCCGCCCGACTCTCCTGGCGTCGACAATGATGATTCTGTGGAAGTTTGAGTAGGATAGCGGGCCTGCGTGCTCTTGATATTTGTACTCTTTGGGCCTGCGTGCCCGTTTATTGTATGTTATAAACATCGCCGACCTTCTTGGTCGGTTTAATATTGCTTTGTTGCCTTCGGGCGTTTATACCTTTATTCATTTTGGATTTTTGCCCTTGTTTGAAATCACATGCTTGTATGAATTTAGCCTAAGTCACGGGCCCGAGGAGTGCCCGTAGGTGGCTTTGATTTGGCGAGCGAATCTGCTCGTCTCCACTTGTATGCGATCTCGGCCCTATTTTGATTGGCCGGGGTTGCCTAAGTGTTGCGCTCGAGGGGAGAGATTTTCTTTTGACCCTTGTAGATGTCCCGTTATTCTTGATGGAATGTCGGGCATTTCAGAGCGAGGTTGCTCAGTCGGGCGTGGAGCCCGT